CCAGATCTGCCAAACTTGGATTGAAGAGTCTATGAGAAATTACTGTGCTTATCCATCACCGTTTGTCATATCTCATTGGCCAGGGCTGCCTAGTAATGCTCAGATACTAGGCTTCCCCATCTTTTCAATGATTCCTAGTTCCCAGGCAGGGTTTGGAGGTGTGATTCAAAGGCCTAAGGGACATGAAGTCAATGCAAGCTGTCTTAACTGGGGTGAAGGGGGTTTGCCCGAGATCGTTGCCTGATCCTGGTGCTACAGAAGGTGGAGTTGGCAACACCAATAATGTTTCAAGTTCAGGCCTCGCTGATAGGAATTTTTGGACTCAGATTTCAGTTGAATTAAAGACAGGACAGGAATGTGACATTTCCTGCAGACCTCTGCTTGTAAATCAAGATTCTGGCTTCTGTCATTTGTAAGGCTTTGGGGAATCAAGGGGAATTAATTCTTGATCTCTAAATGCCATCACCTGGGATACTGGGCATTGCAGAAGCTCATAAAACATCCCCTGTGCATATCATTCAAAACTCAAAGAATGTAGTACAAACTGCTGTCAAAATTCTCAGACATAAGAGAGTTTATTTTTGCAAAAGGCAGACAGCCAGGAAGAAGGACTTTTATCCTTTTAAAATGGATATATTAAAACAAGTACCCCCACCATTGCATGCCAATACCGTTATTATGTAACTGCTATAGCTGTAAGCTCATAAAACTTTCGTAGAGTCAAAGGTCGTTTTGGAAACGTGCCTGCTTGATATGATGTAAGTCTGGAACCTCGTGATGGAATAGGGAACTGTATAGTTCATGATTTCCATAAAAGCCCTTAGAATATCATCTTCATGAGTGTGGACTGGGATGGCTCTCTGGGGCCAGCATGCCCCTCCCACACTCCTCATTCTTTACCCCTGTCCACTGTACTGGAATTGAGGAAGACCACAGGGAATGTGGATTGGTGAAGCCTGAGGGTTGTCATTTCAATGGTCACGGCAATGGTTTGGACTCTGTAGACTGAGCCTAGTGTACCCTTTTCCACATACTGTCTCCAAGGGCTTTGCCACTGGTGTTTCACTGTCTAGCTGCTAGCAAGGTTTTCTCTCTGTTATCATCACATTGCTTTCTTATTTGCAAACATTTAATGGTTATTGTGTGAAACAAAACAACAACAACAACAGCAACAACAACCAAACCTTGTGTTCTGGCATTCAAGGTTTACTGTGAGTGCAGTCTAGTGTCTGCCCCTTATCTTCCCTGGCACTTCACTCTCTGCCGCGCACATCCGTTCTGTCAGGACAGCTGTCCTGACACTCCTCAGTGCTCTCCTGTACTGTTAGTGTCCAATGCCCCACCCACCGGTCTTCACTAGTCCTCTAGGGATCTGGATTGCATGCTACCTGATTTGTAAACACTTTCCTGGCCAGGGACCCAGGGCATCAGATGAAGTTCCATTTGCAGACAACCCTCCCCCTTCTTTTAGCACTTAGACTCTATAAGATAAGGAAGTTTTCTGAGTTCCTCTGGGTCTCAGTTTTCCTTGTGTGTGGAATGAGTTTTCTTCTCCTACCTTCAGGATGTAAGTTTGGCATGATGTGTAGGATCAAGAGGGCTCCTTTGCACAAGCCAGACATCAAGGAACATGGCTGGCTCATCTGATTATTGGGCTCTTCTCATTTTGAAGTTTTATTTATTCACAATCCCTTCTGCATCCTCTATTACAGTGACTGAACTTTGCATTTCAGATCTGCACTGCACATCATCTTCTCTCCCTTTAGTTGGGAAGTCCTTGGAAGTTAGATAGAGGTTTCTGATAATTTAGCATGGATACACTGTACAGTGGGGTCCTTGGCCAGGAGATAGAGAGACTGAGGCTTCCAGTGCTCACTCAGTGATGACATTTTTACTTTTCTGCCCCTTTTCCTTCTAAAAGTTGAAATTGGATATTATAAGTCAATTTTCTTAGATATGAGTTGGCTCTCAGCGGTGCTTCTGATTTGGGCATCAGGTAAAGTGGCCAGTGAAAATCGGTACATTTCTGTTAAGTCTTCGGAAAGCTCATGAAGTGTAAGGACACTTGTTCTCAGCTTATTAGTTTTTCAGTACGCATTCATGCTCGCGTTTATTTTTTTTTAAGTTCAGAAAACATTTAATGATCCCACTCATGGAGAGCCAGAAAACATGCTAATCAGCACAAATAGAAAGAGGTCCTGCAGGAAACCCAACTGAGAATTGCTGATCACAGCTGGCTTTATGAAGTTGTCCTGCCTAGACTCTCATGAGGACTCTCGAAGGCCATCCTAAGAATACCCTCAGAAGACGAATGCATTTGCCATTCTCATCTAACAAGCGAAGACACCAATATTTGAATGGATCCAAGTTTATACACTGGGTGCAAGCTGGGATTCGATGTCTAACATCTGTGAAGTTGAAACCAAATGCCCTGCTTAACTGGGGTTCATAGCTTTCCACATTCCCGAAGTTGCCTGATCAAGCCATACTCTGAACTGTCCTCTACTTAACAGCCATAAAACCTGTTGCCTTGGAACTAACTGAGAAACAGATTCACCACCCACATATTTCCCCATTGGAAAGCTGAGATGACCTTTATACCTGTGTGCTAGGGTGCACCATCCTGTGGCTTTCTCATGGTAAAGGGTACAGCCTCCAAAGTATAGTTTGGAGGCTCCAAAGGCTGCTCTGTATAAAGTTCTCTTTGACACAAATGGACTGCTGTACAAGACCAAGACATTTCTTGGTGTTCTCCTATTGTCTGCACTGCTGTTAATGTTAAGATTGCTCTTAAAGCATATTGCTAAAGTGCCTGGCACACAGTGGGACCTCTAGAAAGACTTGAAGAACACAGAGTTACTTTTCTAGCCCGTTAGCCGTTGATTCCTAAGCCTGTCTTGTCAAGTCTGGACTACTGACTGGAGGCCGATTCTATATGCCCACATACTTGGCTAAGCCTGGTTCACACCAAAGCATGTCAGTCAGGTAGCTTATGTCCTTCTGGCAGTTCAGTAGTTAACCTTATCCCCACCTGTACCTCAGTTCCTAGAAGAGGTTGTTGCTCTCTCCCAGATTCTATAACAAGGACACAGTTAGGTCACCTTGGGTTTCTCTCATCAAGTCCCATTGGGAGACAATCCTGACTGGCTGTTTCCAAGGCATTATCCATGTTTCATCCCAAAGCCCCCGTGGCTGAGTCTCAGATGAGTCAGCTGGCTTGGGGGATTTTTGTTAGCAACCCTGATTGCCTTTGTTTTCATCTTCATGGGGTGTGAGTTGGGGTGGGGGTATGCTTTTTGGGCTCTGGGGTGGGGTCTGGCAAGTTTTGTTTCTAGAAATGCTGCCAGCCTCTGTGGGAGCCAGTGGTGGGAAGCCACGTCATGCCATACTGCGCATTGTTAGGCCACACCCATCCCCAGGGTCTGCTCAGGCGCCATGCAAGCGCTGGCCATCCCGCTCTCTAAGCTGCCTGAGATGAGGTCATGGGTGGGGTACTGGAGACCCCCTACAGATAGGGTGGGGGCTTCCTCTACAGATTAAGGGTGGACCAGAAGGACTGGGAGAGAGGCTGTGGGGATAGTTTTGCCTGTCCGACCTCTGCACTCTCGTCGTGGTCTGTAAGCTGGTGTGAGTAGAATAGAGGCAGAAAAAGAAAGCAGGGAAGAGATGGAAGAGAAGTGTCTATGAGTTAGCCGTTGTGGGTTATTTACCCCACTAGTTAGTGGTGGAGGGAGGGAGCTAACAAATGTCCCTTTACTACCTTGCCAGAAACTAATAGTCACCTCTTTGCTTTTTTTTTTTTTTTTACAGTGTTGTTTTTACTCTGACTTTAATCACCAAGAACTCAAGGCAAGAGAAGCCACAGTAATCCTCCTTATGTAACTAGACTTTGATGCAGAAGGAAAAAATAACAAGACAGTAAAGTGCTTTCTTAGCTGGAGCCGGCGACTATAACAATACGTCCCATTCCCTCCCACACCCAACTGCCTTAATTGCTAATATTTCTACACCAGTGGGCCTTGCAGACTGAGGTCACATCTATGTCCCAACCACCCCAGCTCAATCAAACCTACAGTTCTTAAATCTCTGCCTGCGAGCACGCACATGTGTGCGCACACAGAACAGTGGATGCAGGGCTCGGCTAAAAATTTTTGGTCTGCTGCAAGATCCATCTTCTGATCTCAGTGAATATTTGGCGACTTTTCTTTTTTGCACCTGGAATTCTGCCTTTAAAAAATAGGAACTCCCTGATAACAGAGTTTCTCCCGGAAATAGAAAGCGACACAGAATGTTCACATGTCCCTCCACCCCAAGATGCTTCTTAGATGACCATTGCATAGAAAAACATGAGAGCTATCTGAAGCACAATTGACAAGGCAGTCACCCTTCTCAGATAAGGTCACCCTCGGCTGAATTTGACTTAAGCTAAAAATGTCACGTTCAACTGTTTTGTTTTGTTTTACCCTCCAGGGAGCTAAAATTAATGTTAGTAACTTCTTGGTAGATTCTTACAAGAGTCAAATGGTTTACTTAACTGTAAGAAAACATATTCCACAGAACAGTAAGTCACAGTAACCAAAACTGAGAGTACATTTTAGGATATTACCACAATCTATGAGAAAGTTTTACCAGTTCTTAGACTCTCAGCTCTGGAAGTCAAGCTTTGTAGAAAAAAAATAAACACTGAAATTAGACCATACATTAGCCCACTGCCCACATAACAGCTTATGCTCAAAAACTGGGGTTTTTAGAGAGCCCTCTGACCTTTTCTAAGAGAAAGAGCATTTCTATACATAGACGTTTACTACACCAAACGGAACAGAAAGTAGGAGAGATACCGCTGTTGAGTTCATCCACTGATTTATCATTTGTAGATATTCTAACCACATGTCCCTCCATCTCCTTACAAGTAGCTGTCTGTGGTTCTTCCTGTAAATATTTTGATAAAGTCCAAATAGAAGAGGGAAAGGGAAAGGCTGTAGGGAAAAGCCATAGCTTACCTTTTCTGGGCAGTGCTGGGTTCAGACGTCCTCCTCAAACATGAGACTTCCTTGCTTTGATTCTCCCATGAATTTAGAAAGCATTAAAAATATTCAGAGCAGTAATATGCTTATTAGTCAAGCTGCTCCACAACAATGCAGAGAAGTGTCTCGAAGGAAAGTAAGGGATGTGTGCGGAGCGCGAGCTCATGCTGTCGTACGAAGTTCTGCAACCGTCTTTCTCAGTTTAAACAACCTCCCACTCCTTCTCCCAGGCACTTGCCAACTTCTATAATTTAAAGCAACTGCGATCCTTCCCATAATACTCACATTTCAAAGAGTTTACTATATACACTCGTTAGGAATGAGGAGGAGTGGGCAAGGTTCTTCTGCAAACCCCAGACAGAGGCAGATGCGAAGCAAGGGTCTCAGGTATCTGGAGGATTTTCCGCCTCTCTGCAGCCATCGCTGTTTGCACTGTGTGGATTTGAATCCCTGAAGCCTTTTCAAGTAGTATCTAGAGATTGACAGGCATCGTTTCCTGAAGCATCAGCAGAGTTTATCTGGCAAGTTAGGAAAGGGGCTAAACCAGTGGAATTATGTCAACAGGATTGTTTCTTTAAGATTATACTTTAATTTATCACCAATGTTTTCATGAAACAGGAAAAAACTTAAGATGATGTTATTTACATTAGTCTTGTTTAAGCATTAGCCCACATGTGTGTTATAAATCTAGGAAGGATACATACTTTGAAAATTATGTCTAGGTAACTGAATAAATCTTTGATATTTTAGCCTGTAATCAGAATAAATCTTCTGGCATTTTAGTTGGTGACTATATTTTACATTTTACTATCCAGTTCTTCCCACTTTCAACACACACACACACACACACACACACACACGAATTAAAATTACAACAAGTGTTTAAAGCATGGTTTAAATATTGATTTAAAAGTATTTTATATTATATATCAAAACAGGTCTTACATAGTGCCTGCTAAGTAACCTGTGCCCAGTAAGTACTAATGGAGTGATGTTTATGTTTATAGCAATAAACAGTTTGTGTCAATTTTCATTTCCATAATACTCCCCTTCAAAATATCAATATTTCATAATTTATGTAGGAATCAACATAGGATAATGTATGACTTTGACAAATTTAATGACTATCTGTACAATAAAAGTTCCTCAATGAATACAAAGCATCAGTTAGACCATTCAAGAACGACCAGAAACATCGACATGGACACATTCCATTAAGTATGCTCACTGCACAGAATTACACATACTAGTTCAGGGATAGAACCTCTTTATTTCAAAGAACCCTCATTATTTCTCTTGTGTTTTAGAGTCCTGTCAAGTAACTATTACACAATAGGTAGCATTTAAAACATTTTACAGTATATGAATAATAAATACAAATAAAAATAACCTAAGCTTACAGAGAAATGAACAGGCTTTAAGTTTTCTATACTGAGAATCAGAGGAATAATGGGGCCTCCTTTGCTTGCATTTCTGTTGGGGAGTAATCTCAAGGCAGAGCACAGTGTGGAGAACTGAACTCACATGATGGACTCACATTCCCTGTAAATCCTGAATGTATTGTTTTACTTTTTAAAAAATGAAATTAGGAAAGTATAAGTACCAATGTATCAAACAGTGGTGTTTTTTTTGTACATATGTATACTATCAAGTATTTATTTGATAAATGCTAATCAGGTGCCCTTCTATGTATTCGGGATTTAGTAAGTCATCTTATGAAGTTTACCACAGAAGCTAGCATGAGCATCCTAACCAATGCCAAAGTAGGTGACAGACATGGATTCTGTTCTATCAAAACTGTTAACTCAGGGGCATTAGGTAGCAATGGATAACTGTGACAGGCTGTGTATTGGGCTGCAAAGCCAACAGTCCATGACTTGAAGTGGAAAACTTTTGGTGATGTTGATAAGAACAGTAACTTGGAAGGCAATATATGGTAAATAACCTTTTAGCTTAGGGGAAAGGAATGGAAGAAGACACACATTGTGTGGCCAGCCACTGCTAGGTGTAGCTGGCAAGGTGTTTTGAGAATGAGACAATGCCAGGGAAGAAATGGTCAAGATATAAACCCAAATGAAAGGGGAAAGGGAATCTGGGAAAGGAACACCTATTTTATGGTTTGAAGGAGTCTGCAAATATCTTGTTACAAATTATATTGCTGGCAGTTTTGTAAGTCTATACTAAGAATGTCTTTCAGGTCTGAAAACAATTTCTTCTACATGTCGGATATGAAATGCAGGCTTATGTGAAGGCACACTCCCCAATACTTACCTTTCTGGTTAAGAGAAAAGCTGCCATTGGGGATGTTACCAAAAGGAAATGATGCCAGCAGCAGAAAACAATACAGACAGCAATGGACATATGTATTCCTAGAGGGGAAATCCAAGACTCTTTTGTCATGAAGAGGCAGGGCCTTTACTAGCTGGCTGGTCAGACTATCAGTAACTGTTGTCTATAATCTCACCCTTTTGTGAGAATTTTTATGTTGGTTATATTATTGCTGCTGTACCTTTTGTAAGTGTGTGTGTGTGTGTGTGTGTGTGTGTGTGTGTGTGTAAGAGATAGAGAGAGAGAGGGAAAGAGAGAGACACAGAGAGAGAGAGACAGAGAGAGAGACAGAGAGACATAGAGACAGAAAGACAGAGACAGATACAGAAAGGCAGAGACAGAGAAACAGAGACAATTTTGTCTATGGACTTCTGTTTAAGTTTCCAGATTGCTAGATTAGGACATGGTCATGCAGTAAGTAAGGCCTTTGATCTAAATGTAGTGATAAGATGGAATTCTGGTCATATTTAAGATATGCACCTTGATGAATTTGGAGGAAAATATAGAACCATGAAACTGTCACCACAATTTAAACAACAACAACAACAATAATAATAAATAATCATCTTTTCTAAAAGTTTTCTCTTGTCTAATCTATCATCTATTATCAAGCAATCTGTCTATTATCTATTATGTCTCTTTATTTATATCTACTTATTTATTACATCCATAGTCTCTCTATCTATCTTTAATTCACTAACTTGTTTTATTCTCTTAACAGTTCTATGAGGCAAAAACTAACATAATCCTCTATGGATAGACAACTTGAAACACAGAGAGGTTAAGTAAGTAGCTCATGGTCACAGAGCTAGTAAGAAGCCAGGCTTCGGTTTGTGTATAGACTGTCTGGTTCCCTCAATTCATCCAAACTCTTGAATGTTGCCTAAAAGTTTTTCCAGGGCAAGTGATGAGCACCTTTGTAGGCTATCCATTCCCCTTAGCAGTTATCTCTGGGGCAGGTGAAGAAAACCTTTGTAGGTCATCCGTTTCCCTTAGCCTGATTGCAGGGGAGATATTTAAGATATGTTCTGGTTCCTTCTGAGAGCTTTTCTAAAGCATAGCAGGTTGTTTTTACTCAGAAAGCACGTCTGCCCTTCTCTGAATGTGATTATAATGTTCAGACATTTTTCATGTATTAAGCTTTGAGCTCTCTTGGTTAACTTTGATTACCCTTGGCTCGTATGCTGCAGCCAGCCAAGTTTCCAATTATATCTTGAAACCCAGGTGGCTTCACCTGGATTTTCTAATAAATCTCTGCCAAGTTCTATCAATTACCCACGGACGTGAAGAAAGAGGCTAGGAGGGAGGAGGTACACATCTTGGTATGAAACCCCAACTTCCCTTGGGAAGACATTGTTAAGTTTGGAGATCAGAGATGAACTACACGATCTCTGTTTAGAGTGCTAGAGAAAGATGAGTCCCAGTGTCAAGGGAAGGCACTCAGGTGGTGCAGCCTCTCCTCCATGTCTGACTATACACAGATGATGATGTAATGCTTGCTGCTCTTGGCCACTGAGGACATGGAAGGACCAAAGACATGTCTGGGGTTTGTAGACTCTCCCTTTCCCATCGTGTATTTTAAACTTGGTGGGTGCTGTGGTATGGGGATCTGGAATGACCCCCACAGACTCATTTGCTGATCTTATCCTTATAATAGTCCTACGGGATGGTGGCTGGACCTTTAAGGGGCAGAGCCTCATATGAGAGCTTTATGTTTTTGACATATTTCTGGCATATTACCCCAAGGGAATTGTGGGATCCAGAAATTCTTCCCTCATGTCATTTCTTAGGTATGAAGTTAACAGTTCTGCTGTACTACACATGCCTCCCCCACATCCTGTCAATCAGGCATAGCACGAAACTTCCCAAACTATAACTCAAAATAACCTATTCTCTTTGTAAGTTTAGTAACTCGGGTATTTTGTTAAAATAATGGAAGACTGACTGGCAGAGAACTAATACGAAGGTGCTTGCTTCACTATCTTGGTGATTAAGGATAACAGATCAGCTTATTGTAGAAAACATTGACCGTAGGCAGCAAGACTACATATCTGGAAGAAATCTTGAGGATATTCTAATATATCCCTTCACTATTCTCATCATCTTCACTATTGGTCATCAGCAAAATCTTGGCTGGTATCCATACTATTTCTACATAACCTTTCTCAGGGGAAAGGAGGAGCACAATGTCATAAAGCTTCAAAACATCTCTGAGCAACATTAAATATGTCTGCCTGTCAGGAGCAGCCCTGCTTATACACTGAAGGCCTAAAATCAGCCATAGGCCTAAAATCAGCAATAGGCCTGACATACATGCCTGCTAGCACCAAGTCTTGGGTCTCTGTGGAAAAACACTGAAACAGATAGCTGGGAGTTATTGTAAACAGACAGCTTTGGTGGAAAGCTGTCAAGCCTAGTCATAAGGCCTTGTAGATGGGTAACCTTGGTGAATAGTACCAACTTAGATAAAGACAAGTGAATCATAAGCGGAGTCATGGTGGTCTGTCCCCTGAACCTTCACCCAGCTGACACTCTATTCTGGAAGATATCTGTACTCCCCCTGAACACCCACACTCCTTCGTCATCCCTTTCCCCACATCCTGCCTTTTTGTGTATATAACCTGTGTGTGCAAAAGTAAAAATTACGATCTGATCAGGTTATAGACAGGTCGTCATTCCTTTCCTCTTTGCCTGCTCCCCCACTCTTATTCAGGTGACCTCCCCAGGCCCCTGTTTAATGTCCTGCTGGACAGAACATCTCCCCCTTTCCCACATATACATGGCTTTCAAACAGTCAAAAGTAACTCTTTGCCTTCTTTCCCACCAGCTACATCTTTCTTCAAGTCCAATGAGTCTGGCTTTTGCATTTGTTCTTCAAGAAACATGATTTCAATTAGGCTGCCAGCTTGGTTGGCTACCCTCCAGTGAGTCAATATTCAATTAACAGCTAAATGTCTCTTGAGGAGTATGGTAAGGTGACCTAAGAGTCAACATTTGAGCTACAGTTCAAGTCTTCTTTCACCCTTGAGAACGCACCTCTCTTATTCTTCAGAAAGTACCCTCTC